AGCAGAGGAACCCACAATGCATTCTGGTTACTGACTCAAGTCTTTGACCCTGACTCGGAGTAAGGTAAGAAATACCCTTAACAGCTATTTATATTCTTGTGGAGGCTGACCAAGTGACTCTAAGGTTATTACATAGCATTTGAGTCCCCGGCTAGGATGCTAGGTAAGGTTTAGTTTGGCTATATGGTATAAGTTAGCAAGCACAGAGTACCGGGAATTCAGAACACACAATAGATAGAACTATTATGAGGGGAGGGGGCTAAATCACAAACAAGTGATTTCCGACAAAAACAATTGTCAGATTTGAACTAATTGTATCAAAACCCATCAGAAAACCACTTTTTTTCCTACAAATTCCATGGTTGCTGTAATATGCACATTTACCGAAAGCATACTGGTCAACCTGTATAATATGGACACGAAGTAGTACCTTAAGCTGTGTATTCTTATATTACTCTATTAATTATGTGTAGTAAAGTATTACAGAACATGTATTAATCCTATGTAATATTTCCATTTATTATGCACCATGTTATGTATGTGAATTATCATATTTACATATTATGTACTGTATTCAGCTTGTGAATGCTGGCATCTGCACATGCCAGCGCGGAGTGATACAGAGAGTTGAGATCGCTAGTCCTTATGGTGTGGAAGCCGACTGTCTATTAGTTCCTCTGTATATCTCCCGTACGAGAATAAGAACATAAGAACATAAGAAAATAAGGAGTCTGCAATAGGCCGGTTGGCCTGTGCATGGCAGCTCCTGTCAAGAGCTACTACCACTCTCTATCATCCATGAATCTATCTAGCCTCCTTTTGAAACTTTCCAGGGTTCCCGCACTTACTACAAAGTTGCTAAGCTTGTTCCACTCATCCACCACCCTATTTGTGAACCAGTTTCTTCCTATCTCCCTCCTAAACCTAAACTTATCCAACTTGAATCCGTTGCTCCGAGTCCTATCCTGCTCGGATATTATAAGAACTTTTTCTATATCCCCTTTATTGATTCCTTTCACCCACTTAAAAACTTCTATCATATCTCCCCGCACTCTTCGTCTTTCTAGGGAATGCAAATTAAGTTTCTTTAACCTATCCTGATATGGAAGGTTTCTAAGTCCCGGAATCATTTTTGTCATTCTTCGCTGCACCGACTCTAGTGAATTTATATCCATTCTATAATAGGGGCACCAGAACTGAACCGCATAATCGAGAAAGTGCCTGACTAGATGCAAGATATAGTTGCAATAAGACCTCTGCACTCTTGTTACTTACACTTCTAGATATAAAACCCAATACTCTGTTTGCCTTATTTCGAACATTAACGCACTGTTTTCTAGGCCGTAGGTCCGGGCTTACAAGTACCCCTAGGTCTCTTTCATAAGAACCTATTTTCAAGATAACAAGTTTGTGTATACCCTCAGTAGTGTAGAACATTTTGGGGGTATCAAAGACAAACATAGACAACCCCTAAGGACTCATGTCCTAAAGTAAAAATTTACCTGTTTTTCTTATCAAATAAGGATAAGGTTGGGTTTAATGGTAAATATTTGTTTAATAGCTATGGCTCCATATATTTTTGTTATAAGTACAGTTTTTCTTGGTGTACTGTATTTAGGGGGCTTTACTAAAATCTGACCTTCGTTTTTGGGGCAAATGAGCAAATTTTGCAAAAACTTTAATTTTCTGGGGGGTTTTAATTTGGGGAACAAAATTCACTCATTTGCACAAGATTTGAAGGTCGGATTTAAATACAACACACCTAAATATATAAAAAAATAATAATATTTACTCTATCCCGCTTCACAATTCTCCTCCCGGCGTCATTTTTGTTGTTTACCTCGCTGAATCCCTCTTCAAGAGACGTTTCCTATAAATGATGGCAAATGCTTCGACGTTTTCCTCCTCGCCATTGCTGAAGTATATCTACCCAAGTATTAAGTTAACACAATACTACATAGAACCTAATAAAACTTGACCTAACATACCCAACCTATGGGTATGTTAGGTCAGGTCTATTAGGTTCTAGGTATTGTCATTTCCATTTCTGTGTTTAAATCATGCTAATAGTGGACAAAGAATTTAAACCCAATCGCACTATTCCTTCTGGTGATAACGGTTTCATAAACCTTTACCAAAAACCTACTCTCGTAACAATTTCAACTTCCAAATCACTGTTGAAACCTAACCTAACCAAACCAACCTAACTTAACATAGAATAGCCAAATACGAAAATCTTGCCACAGCCATTAAGCAAATATTAACAGTTTAATTTAGAAATAACACTTTTAACACATTTTCTAAAGCTACGAGTGTCCACTTTAAAACACCGTGAAATTACAGTTTTAGGTCAATATATAGTATCACACCGGTCTTTATTTTGAAATTAAAAATAGGTTTTTCTTATGTAATTTGATGAGTTTCGAACGAATTTGATATTAATTTTCATCGGAACCCCCCCTCCTTTTTTTAGACCCACCCTCCAACAATCTTAACAGAAAAAGTTGACTTTTTAGAACAAATTATATTACCAACCAAGAAAACCTAACCTAACCAGCCCCCTGTCGGAGGCCTGCAGCGATGCGTGAGCAGGGGGTCAGGACAACCTCCGCCATAAGTAAACAAATCATGGCGACACTTGTGACAGAGCGAAAGTAATAATCTTGAAAAATTAATACTGTATCTGTTATTCTTAATTTCCGGTGGAAATATCATAGAAGAAAAATGTCTTACAATTGCATAGACATTACAAGATACAGTACATATTTTTAATACAGAAATAAAGACCGGTGTAATACTATAAATTCACCCAGTTTTTTAATTTGTTTTCTATGAAAACTCCGTGGCGGGTCAGTCGTTAATAATTACCAAATTGTCTAAACCAACGGAAAAACACATTGTAAAACTACCATTTCGGTCATACACCTGTTTTACGAAGGTCAGAATGTTCAAAACACATCAAAAACCATAGGAAAAACATATTTCAACATAACCTAATCCAAACCTAAATTCGCTGCATGACCGAAACGCTAATAATACCAAACTCATTGTTCAACTCGAGAGCCATATTGGTTGAAAATCCAAACTTAACTTATTAACCACAGTGTCAGTCAATACAGCTGCCATACCTACAGTATATCCACTACGTTATTTTAAATTGCCGTTTAGGTTCTAAAATACCTAAAAGTATTAAAAACCCAGCTGAATAATGGTATTATTGCGTTTAAACATTCCCACTTACTACCGCTAATCTATTATCATATTCTAATAAGACGTCTAATTATAAGATCATTTTCATCTTTTACATTACCGCCAGAACTGTATATTAACGGAGTTAGGAAATCCAAAATTTTCTCAATTATTTTCTATAATCTTCGGCCATTTAACACGTACTTCACCTTTCACACTGCGTGTCTCCTGCGGGCCTCCTTCATAAATCATCACGTGCATGCGTTCCCGTACACGTCACACAACCAATCAAAAGCTTTTTTTTTTTTACAACCAATTAAAATGATTTTGGGTTTAATTCGTGGTATTTTTAGACCAATCAAAATCGATTTTTATTTTGGGTCTCTCATATTTCGAAATTCAAGTTCAGTTCCGACCATGGAAGCCTGCGATGGGTGTCACTTCAATTATATGGAGCTGATTGCAAGTTTTTGGGAAAAAAACGTAGAAACTATAGCATTTTTTCGATCGCATTGTGTTCTTCCAACCTCAGTAAAGTGTACTAGGAGCAAGACTGAATGTAAATATCGCAAAGACCAACATATGTGGCATTGTGTAAGAATCTCGACTCCAAGACGAACCTGGTCTCCAGGCCAACTTAGGTAAGAAATAGGTGATTCCATCATATGGTGAGTCAGTTAGGTCAGGTTAGGTTAGGTTTTTCAAGTGTTTTGGTGTATTTTTTATACAGTTAGCGATTATTTTTTTTTAAGTCTCGAAAAAAAATCGATAAAAAAAACGGCCAATTTCCAAAGGAAATGAAGGCGGTCCGACTAATTACCCAAATGTACCCAAATGTAGCAAAATGTAGCCGCAATGAAGTCAAATAATGGTCCTACATGAATAAATCGGACTGCTAATCACTTCTCGACTAGTATTTGGTGTCACAAAGTCACAAAAAATTGGAAAACTTACTTTCATCTGAGTTAATAGATCGCGTGCATGTACCAAGGGAGCGAGTAATTACCCAAATGTTCCCAAATGTAGCAAAATGTAGCCGCAATGAAGTCAAATAATGGTCCTACATGAATAAATCGGGCTGTGAATCACTTCTCGATTATTATTTGGTGTCATAAAGTCACAAAAAATTTGAAAACTTAATTTAATCTGAGTTGTGTTGTGTTAGGTTAGATTAGATTAGGTTAGGTTACGTACATGCACTTGATTTATTAACTCAGATTAAATTAAGTTTACCAATTTTTTGTGACTTCGTGACACCAAATACTAGTCGAGGTTAGGTTAGGTTAGGTTAGGTTCGGTACATGCACTCGATCTATTAACTCAAATTGAATTACGTTTTCCAATTGTTTTTTACTTTGTGACATCAAATACTAGTCGAGAAGTGATTGGTAACCCGATTTATTAATGTAGAACCATTATCTGACTTCATTGAGGCTACATTTGGGTAATTAGTGGGACCCAATGAAGGTCATATTAGGTCTAAACACACATAAATACACTAGAACAATATACTTTTAACTTTCTAACAGATGGGGAGGTAGAAGTACAAATTTATCGAATTAATTGATAATTCTGCGACAAAAAGGCAAAATAATGAATGTTGTAGTAATGCTGGATAATAATACACACATGGCCAAGTACCTCACAACACAAACTTCCTTGATAACTATTTACTCTCAATATTCTCAAGTATCGAGGGAAATATCTCGTGCCCCAAGCATAATGTTTCAAAAGACACAATTTCTCACATATATAAGACTTGAATTAAGTGAAAGATAAGAAAGTTTTGTTGTAACACGTGAATTCCTTACCAGCTATAACAGCGACCACACTAAGAGGGACAAATGACTAACGCCGCCTCATGGCTCTATTATACGGGTTAACATTACTGAATATTGATGTTAAAATACAATACAATCATTATTATAAGTAATTTGTCATTCTATTTAAAAGTATATATAATTATTTAGATTGTAACGCTTCTTAATAGTATATCAATATATTACAGGTATATGTTGGAAATGTTACCACTCTTTTTAAACGTCTTCATTCAGGTCCTAAGCAACATCTGAATATCTAATAAAACTTGAAAAATATCCACTATGTCTCAGAAATCTCCAACAGTTTCGATATTTACCTTCACCTTCAACATTATTAGGATGCATGTGAGAAATGTCAATATAATTTTGGTACATTTACTTTACTTTTTACTTTTATCCTCTTCACCATTGATCGGCTTGTTACCCGCCCGGGCGATCGGTCACGTCTCTATCACGCACTGTTGGCAAATACTGGGCATGCACCGGCTCCTGAATGTACCTGAACCCGCTCCAGTGTTGGTCAAGTCTTGTCTTGAAAGAGCTCACACTCGGTGCCGTCACAACACTCTCTGGTAGATTGTTCCAAGAGTTTACAACCCTCACTCCGAAAAAGTTTGCCCTCACGGTTTTCTGGACTTGCGGCTTCTTCAATCTTGAGCTGTGACCCCTTGTGGGGCGAGCGTCCGCCAGCTCCAAGTAAGGACACTCAACTGAGTAGTGCACCCTGAGATGCTTATACACCTCAACTAGGTCCCCCCTTGCCCGTCTGTAGTATAAGCTAGGCAAGTTCAGGCGCTCCAATCTCTCATGGTGGCTGAGGTGCCTAAGTGCAGGCACCAGTCTGGTGGCCCTCCTTTGAACATTTTCAACCAACTGACAGTCCCTAGCATATCTCGGGGACCCGACGGGGTGACAGTGTAATGACCACGGTTGTACACGTCAGTTAACGTAAAATCAGACGATTCTTATTACGCTCAATAGCCCACAAAACATGTAGCTATGCTTTCTTTTTTTTTTGAGTCCCCCGTCTCAGAAGTCCGTTTTCTCATCGCTTCAGGACGCCTGAGTCCTTCATTTTCTCTCAATCTTAAAGTGCACCCGATTCTTCGTTATTCCTTAGTAAGACAGAATTTGAAATTGCAACTGTGGTTGCAATTGGTGAGGCAACCTAGATATGTCTGTTTACAGTTGGAACAATCAAGATCCATTGTGAGTGGTGTTGAAAGCTTCAACTGTCTTTATGGTTAGAAAAACTTGTCAAGTAAGTGAGTGTCGAGTTTGCCAGCTCGAGTGGCATATTTTATGTCGTCCGTGGGGATATCCATGAATTTCCGATCGCTACTGAAGTTATATTGTTTTGTCGCCCAAACATCAGAGAATCTGATGTTTATAGTTTAGTTAGTGCCAGTTGTCTATTTAAGAAAGTCATTAATCTCCTGAACATTTCCTGTCAAACTCAAAAATATCCAAGACTTTGTGGGGTACGGGTTATTTGGTTCACACTCAGGATGGGATGGAGAAAGGAAACTCACAATGTGCTCTCTGTATACATGTTGTATTGGATGTACAATGCAGCTTGGTGCTGGGAAGGCAGCATGATTACAAGCATTGAGTAGAGAGAGCTGGTTGGTGAGGGCGCTCAGAGGACTAGCTTGTGGGTCGCCATGGTCGCTGAACAGGAGCGAGGGCCGCCAGGCAGGAGGAGGAGGTGTTGCTTGCTGGTTGGCGTAGGTCGAAAAAGCTAGGTCACCACGAGGTCAGGTCTTATATAGCGGAGGTAGGCGTGGCTTAATAGTTGACCTCAGTCATGTAAGGCGGCGCTGGTTGCTGACCTAGACCACGAGGCATACACTGGGGAATTCGCGGGGTCGGCTACTCAGCGACAAGCGTTTGTAGGGGAGGAATCCACTACAATACTCCCCCTTCCCTCCAGGCGGTGTAGGAGACTTGTTGTCTGCAGGGTTGCATGTCACATGTGAGGTAGAACGGGCGGTGCAGGAGACTTGTTGTCGGTTGGGTTGTATGCCACATGTGAGACATAAGGGCGTGGATCAGCCGGCCGCTAGTGGAGACAACTTTGTCTAGATACAAGAGCTCTGTGGGAGGAGAGAGGCAGAAGGAGGGTTGTGGAGGTGTTGTGCTTCCCTCGCGACAGGTACAGAGTCCTCAGATGCGCCTGCTGGGGTGTGTGAGTCTGGGTCAGGAGCAGGGGCTGTGTCAGGAAAAGGGTCTATGACAGCAGCAGGGTGCATGACAGCAGCAGGGTCCACGACAGCAGCAGGGTGCAGGACAGTAGCAGGGAGTACCTGAGGGGAAAAAAAAGGGTGTGTGGGGCCGCATTCAGGCGCATGGGCCGCGTCAGGAGTAGGGACTACCAGGCAGGAGCGGAGGAGGGTCCAGGACAGTGGTGTAGGTCGAAAGAACTAGGTCACCACGAGGTCAGGTCTTATATAGCGGAGGTAGGCGTGGCTTAATAGTTGACCTCCGTCATGAGAGGCGGCGCTGGTTGACCTAGACCACGAGGCATACACTGGGGAATTCACGGGGTTGGCTACTCAGCGACAAACAGCATTTGTAGGGGAGGAATCCATTACAATACTCTCCCTTCCCTCCAGGTGGTGTAGGAAACTTGTTGTCTGCAGAGTTGCATGGCACATGTGAGGCAGAACGGGCGGTGCATGCCACATGTGAGACATAACGGCGAGGGCGTGGATGAGCCGGCCGCTAGGGGAGACAACTATCTAGACACACGAGATATGTGGGAGAAGAGAGGGAGAAAAAGGGTGTGTGGGGGCGATGAATGTTGTTCTTCTGTAGCTGCAGGGGCAGCGTCCTCATGGTCACTGGCTGGGATGACTGGGTCAGGGACGACGTCAGGAGGAGGGTCTATGATAGGAGCAGGTTCTACAACAGCAGCAGAGTCCACGACAGCAGCAGGGTGCAGGACAGTAGCAGGGAGTGCCTGAGAGAAAAAAAAAACCGGTGTGTGGGGGCGATGAATGCTGTACTTCCCTCTCGGCAGGTACAGAGTCCTCAGATGCGCCTGCTGGAGTCTGTAGGACGTGGTACTTGGGGCAGGAAGAGGAACTGGTGTCTGCTTAGAGAAGCAGTGCTGCTCTACAGTAGGATGTCTTACCTGCAGTGTAGAGACAGTTGCTGTAGAGCCGATGAGAACTGCCTCTGTGTGGATAAGCCAGTCTTCCATGTTGCTTGAAGACTGGTTGAGTGATCGGTTTCTCCTCCATCCTGTGTGAGTGCGAATCTCCGGGGTCACCAATTGTGGTATAGGGGATATTGGTTCACACTCAGGATGGGATGGAGAAAGGAAACTCACAATGTGCTTTCTGTATACATATTGTATTGGATGTACAATGCAGCTTGGTGCTGGGAAGGCAGCATGGTTACAAGCGTTGAGTAGAGAGAGCTGGTTGGTGAGGGTGCTCAGAGGAGGACCAGCTTGTGGGTCGCCATGGTCGCCGGCGGGAGCGAGGGCCGCCAGGCAGGAGTGGAAGAGGAGGAGGAGGTGTTGCTTGAATACTGGCTGTAGATAGAAAGAGAGGTAGGTCACCAAGAGGTCAGGTCATATATAGCGGAGCTAGGCGTGGCTTAATAGTTGACCTCCGTCATGTAAGGCGGCGCCGGTTGCTGACCTAGACCACGAGGCATACACTGGAGAATTCGCGGGGTTGGCTACTCAGTGACAAGCGTTTGTAGGGGAGGAATCCTCTACAAAGTGTCACGTTAGTCATTCAAAAATAACATGCTGTTATAAATGTATAATATGGACACGAAGTAGTACCTTAAGCTGTGTATTCTTATATTACTCTATTAATTATGTATAGTAAAGTATTACAGAACATGTATTAATCCTATGTAATATTTCCATTTATTATGCACCATGTTATGTATGTGAATTATCATATTTACATATTATGTACTGTATTCAGCTTGTGAATGCTGGCATCTGTACATGCCAGCGCGGAGTGATACAGAGAGTTGAGATCGCTAGTCCTTATGGTGTGGAAGCCCTCTGTCTATTTTTTCTCTGTATATCTCCCGTACGAGAATAAGAACCTATTTTCAAGATAACAAGTGTTTGCGTATACCCTCAGTAGTGTAGAACAATTTGGGGGTATCAAAGACAAACATAGAATAAAGATTATTTTAATTCGGGATAATATCAAGTGTGTCATATTATTCACTTGCAGTGACAATGAAGTAATATAATGATTGTTAAATGTTGTAACCTAGAATTGAAGATGTAATTTGTTACTTAAAAGTACGACCTGAGGGTCCAGTGTTATCTGACCGTGTGTAATAACTCCTGAATCTCATTTGTTAGAGAAATAATACCACCGTTGTCATGAGGCAATGAGTATTGAAATAGTTAAATGATATACCAGGTACTTGGAGTTGCCTAATGAGTTAATAAGTACCTGAAGTGTTTGATGAATTAATAAGTAATTGCGGTTGTTTTGATCAATGGTACAGTAAGACCTAAGAGTCTATTTTTGTCTGGGTGAATTTAAGTAACATCTTATTCACTCACTGTGTCAATAAATATTGAATTAGTAATCTAAGAGTATCACCTCTCTACTCCTTCTACACATTGGTTCCCAGAAAATAAAACTTACTCACGTGCCTATACATCTACCACACTACCCATAAGCTTTCCATGATATATGTTATATTCTAACTCCAAAGTCTGGTGGTGGCAGCCTACTTGTAAGTATAATAAGTGTACTAAGAATAACATGGTTCCCAGACTAATCCATGTATAAGAATAGACGTAAAACAGAGTATACTTCAGAAAGGTAAGAACAGTGAAATTGAGGAAATATAATATACAGTATATGAAAGAAATGAAAGACTTGGAAAGTACAAGAAAAGAAAGATAAGACATGTAGGTACATTGAGGAACTAAAGCCACAGCATAAAAATTATGAAATAAATACACCATGAAAGTTTAATATAAAAAACATACATAAATAAGAAAAGAATTACTTATACAGTGGGGTATGCTATAACGAATCTAATTGGTTCTAGAACCTTGTTCG